GTTAATTGCAATATGTTTTTTTTTAATTTGGTTATTAATGTGCATGATTGGATTCAGTTTTTGCTGCTATCTATTTCTTAAAAGGTTCTTTTTGCATGCAACTATAATGGGAGTGATTTCTCCTCCACACACACTTTCAATAATAGACTACTATAGCTCATTTATGTCAGATACTGTTAAGATTAAGCTATTGTTGCAATTTACTTTATAATTTTACATTTTAATGCTACACTGCAACTTCTATTCAATAAAATACAGTATTTTTTAGATAAGCCTGAGATTTGTTAAAGATTGATAATTAAAAATTGATTTTGATAATTATAAAATAATATTGGGAATAAGATTCAAGATTTTGCTAGCTGTTATTCATTTATTGTCTAAAATATACTGAAATGAAAGTTTCAAACAGTCATACTTTGAAGTTTCTGTCTTATGAAAATATTTATGCACTATTCAATTTTTTTGTTCAGTATTTTGTAATTCCATATTCATCAACTATGAAAAGTGAGTGTGTGTGTGTATATATATATATATATATATATATATATATATATATATATATATATATATAATATAAAGTGAACATTGAAGTCAACACACAGAGAAACAACCTGTCACCTCTGAGTGTTGACTTCAATGTTCACTTTATATTTATGTTTACATACGCTCTCTGATATTTAGCACTTTATTCCATAAATATAGCACACCTTGAAAATATATTTCTTTTATATATATATATATAAGATTAATTTTAACATTTAACTAATACCTTAAATGTAGATAAAGGATATCAAACTTAAAAATTTTTAGCAATCTGAATTTGTCTTTAGGAAGATAAGGGACAGAAATAACATTATTACCAGTTATCTAAAACATTTAATTAGATAAATTATTTTAATTAAATAAAATATTTATGTTGTCTAACATTTAATTAGAAAAGTACACTTAAAGTAGGATTTAAAAAGAAATAAATGTTACTTAACAATCAATCTTGGATTTACTGAATTCCTAATTGAATATTTTAAATTTTTGGAACTTATTATTCATGGTATGTAAATTAATTTTTATATCTGACATCTTTTTTTAATGAAAAGTATTGGATTTTATTTGGAATGCTGGCATATAGTTAAATAAAAATATATTTACTCCTCATTAAATTTTTTTATAAATAGTTAAATGATTGTAAAACCATTGCCCTTTCTAATAGATTTGTATGTTGTGATTTCTGGAATGTTGGCAATATTCTTTTATCTTCACAAATAGATTTTCTGATGTATATACTAATAGTTTCATGGCTATTATTGATTGATATGATATTGCCTATTATAGAGCTTTTCTCAAACCTTTACATGAAAACCCTTTTATAGATTCCTTTGTTAGCTTATCATTAATATCAGACATTATTATTATTATTAGATAAATTATTTTTCAATTTTAAACTTTGTGTGTAATTTACCTGACTTGAGGATGTTCAGTCAATAAATTATCAACATTTTATATATATATATATATATATATATATATATATTTTAATACATGTGATATTTCCAATTAAAATTATTGAATATTTTGCCATTATAATGCAAGTCTGGATATGAGCTGCATTGAATTAAAATCCATTTCTTATTCTATACTAAAAACTGAGAAACTTATGTCAATTGACAAATATGCTATCAAGTCCGAATTTTTAAATGAAAGCAAATGATCATCTTGTATATAAATACAACTAGATTGTTTAGTAAAGATTACAGGAAACCTATTGAATCTTTTAACTATTTTAAGTAATAATTGAACATAAAAGACTCAGCATCGGTTATATGCCTGTTTATTCTCTTATGTCTTGCTTAGTTATAAGTTTTTATTCTTAAGAAATTTAAACACTGAGATTTTAATTTTGATATATTAAAGTATTTAAAAAAGTTATTTTTGTTAGTTTTTGGTACTTTCTTTTCTGTTATAGTCTTGATAAATACTTTTGTTTGTGATATATTTATCCAGTTTCAGTGTGCCTGATAATCTTAATTTTTCTGATTGAAAAAAAAACAAACCAAAAAACAAACCTGATATGTACCAAAAGCATGTTGATGTTAAGTGTTTTAAAATATTGTTATGTATCTCATTTTAAAATCTTTTACACTGAATCTAATATGAAAGAAAAATGCATGGATCATTGTTATTCTAAGAAGAAAAAAAACAAGCAAATCAAATATGCAGTAGGTAACTTTTATTCTGTATTATTTGGTCAGTAATCAGATATTGTGAAAAAAAAAATCAATATTTTGGCATTGAACTCTTTTTGGAATCAAAAGTTTACAATATATGCTCATAGTAAAGCAAATTTTCATGACATTAGAGATTTTATCTTTCAATCAGTTACCAATTAGTATGACTTGGTAAATGAATTAAGGGAAAATGTAACTATGTCTAATGGCAATGTAAGATAAAATTTTCTGATTAAGTTTGTTCAAAAGATCAAGAAAGATGAAATTTAAATTGATTATTGAAAAAAATATCACTAGAATTGATGTAACTTAACCCCATAAATAGCTCATAAGAATATCATATATTGGACAATATTTAAACTAAGGGCTAAAGGATATTAATTGGAAAAAGAATTCCCATGAGGTACATGTTATGTTACTGTTTCAAATAAATGTCTATTTACTTTTACTGTTTAGTATAGAATAAAAAGCAGCAGTCAGTGAAATTATTTGTAACACTAACTTAATTCATTTTGTTTTAGGAGTATATTATAACATAATTAGAATTGTAATTAATTTTTAAAAGTTACAATGATTCTTCTTTTTTATCTCTTCTGATAATGATTAGTATTTAAAGTGTCAAGAAAAATCTAACATTTTTTTTTAAAAATTGCATCTTGTATATAAATTCTTTTCTTCTAACAATAAGTATATAATGTTTAAATATTTATTTCAATCTATGATTGTTCTTCGTTCATTATATAAATTTATCAATGAATGATGATTATCAATTACTTGGGATAATTCAACCTCTATAAGTGTTTCCTTTTCTATGTGAACTTCTTATTTAGAAATACTAACAAGTGCCTCTGTTGAAATTCAAAATACTTTTTGTGCATTTATTCCTAATATAAATACCACGGAATGTTTTTGACTTTGTTGTTGGCTTGTATTGAAACATGAATGCATGGTATTAAAATTTGTAAGGCAATGGGGAATGTAAGTATCCCTCTTTACAATGGAATTCATCAGGTGATTGCTTTTTTTCATATATCTGCATGAGATGAATGATAAAATTTGCAGATTATCCTGCCCCATTAGTATACTTGCATGCAAAAAAGAAAATGTATATTTATATTGTGATATTTATATCTGTTTCATATGAAATCTATTCAGATATAAATAATGCAATGCGTTTTTACAAACTTCCAGTACTTTGATGGAAAATTTGACTTAAAACAGCTGAAAATTTCAACTGTGTAGCCTTGTCTACTATTAAGACAGATGATAATTCTTTATCTGTTTTTAATCCTACCACTTCCTCATGGAAACTAATCACACAAATGTGATTACAACTGTGAAAAGTTCTAGGTATGGTCAAGAAGCCCTGCAAAAAAAAAAAATGATGTTTGGTCAAGTTTTAAACCTTCTTACTATAAATAAAAATAATATATAATTATAAATAAGTTTCAAAGATGTGTAAAGTGATTATTTACTCTGCCACCTTGTTTATCTTTTTATCTACCACAACTCTGCTAAAAAAAAATTGCAAATTATTTGTCCTAAATATAATAAATCATATTCTCCATATTCATGTTTTATTATCAGTTAGTTATCAAATAATCATGAACAAACTGTGTTTTATATGAAAAGAAAGATAAAATCTATAAATTGTATGTATACAAATGGCACATCAACTTGACTGTCAATTTTTTTTTTTAACTCTTGAAAGTATCTTCCAAAATAAGTGACATTAAATTATTGAAGTAATTTTTATGACTGCCTTTCCACAGGGAAAGGAGAAAAAAAAACTGTAGCTTACTAATATACCAAAATATTGAGAGAAAAAATTCAGTCAAATGTTTATATAATAACTATATTTATTATTTCATGCTACTAGTTTACTATTATTTAACCACACAAATGAACTTATATTTTAAATTGGTTCTAATTTGTGTGTGTATAATTGGTTGTATTCATATTACATCATTATGAATATTCTAAGTATATCAAATAATCTAAACAAAAAATAAAGGGAATCATGTAAATTAAATTTGTATTTCTCCATTTAATGGAAAGAATTCAATATTCATCAGTTATTGGTGATGGTCTTACAAAACATCTTGCAGGCAATTATTAAAATTGATACAAAATTGTTGACAGACAGGTATTTTGAATTCTGATAACCTTATTTATATAATGATGAATGCAAATGTGCCCTGAGAAAGATTTTTGATACAAAAGCTCAAACACTTCTGACACTAATCACTTCAAGTTGTATCATAGCAATTATGTGATTTGTGACTGTTATCACATGTCTTAGACCTTGGTTGCTATAAGTTTAGTATATTATGTTATAATGAAACTAGCTGAACATTTTTTTTTTAATTTTATTATGTGGAAGTTAGAGAAACTATCCAGTATCTAATGTAAGATGTATGAAAAGTTGTCTGTCAATTAGTTCTTAATACCCTTCAGTTTGAATACACAATATTAACTTGAATATTTTAAAAAAATATCATGTGATATTTTAATAATACTCTAAAGCAATGCATAAAATTATACAATATTTATTATACAATAACTTTTAAAAAAATCTGAACATTTATTATCATTGCTATTTCATAACTGTTCCGTTTATGTACAATTGTGTATATACTGTATGCATTCAAATAATTAGGAATTAATTTGTAATGAAATAAATTCTCTCTTATAATTTAATGTAAGTTGATAATAATTGTCTAATATCACTCAGCATTTTTCTTTGTGTCTCATTATAATTTTGTCCCTTTTCATTAGGACATCATCATCAGCAAAACTGGAGGACCACTAGGGCTGAGTATTGTAGGAGGTTCTGATCATTCTTGCCTACCATTTGGAGTTGGTGAACCAGGTGTCTTTGTGTCTAAGGTAACTCTTATTGTTTTTATTTTTTCGTTGCCTTTGTATCTATGGGATGAACTGGCATAAGAATATCGGTCAAGTATAGCAATTTTAAATTTGTGTTTAAAATCAAAAAACATCCTGATAAAATTTTCCCTAAATATCTGTGAAGAGGGAAAATTATTGGAAGATTGTTTTGTTAGCTAGTGTTATAAAATATTGGGTTATTCAGCATGAAATTGCCAATTTATTTATTCAAAATCAGTTGTTAAATTCATAGTAAAATTGTTTATTCAATCAAAATATTCTCCTTTGTTTATTCTACTTTGTCAGTAATTTGTTAACTTCTTTTCTAAAGTATTCTTCATTCAAAGAATGAATAAAATCATTGGAACCACCTTTTTAATTTAATGCCCAAAGACCTCATATTGATTTCAATTAACTATACATAACACACACAGAGCCATTCTATTATAGAAGACAATATTTAGACATGTTTGCATTTGAGATCTTTATATTTTTCACTTTTATGGAGGAAGCAAAGAGTATAGGTGTGAAGTGGACCATCTAAATATGATTCTCTAAATTATGTTTTAAAGTCATTTGTAATAAATTCACTGCAAAATGATGTAAGTGTCATTAAGGTTTCAGTATATATTATCAGCCTTAGCATTATTAAAAACTAATTTTGTATTTGAACAAGGCAGAATACCAATAGCCAAGCAACTATTGATACTCTTGTATGTTCCTGAATAAACAATGGAAACAAGTATTTAAATTCAAACTCATTTGGATCATTCTATTGCATTCTAAGATCCAGGTGGAGATATGAGGAAACTCAGAAATAAGAATTAAATTTCTTTTCTCTTTACAAAAATGTAAGGACATAAAATGCATATGTCCATAGCCTAATGATAAAAGCATTTATTTTACACAAATATTTTTCAACATTATATTCTATAAAACAATGCATGCCACCTGATCCAGTATTAGTAATGAAATATTCCAATATTATGGTAACCGGAAACATTACTTGATACAAGTAAGCAAATATATCATTAGTAAATAGGGGATATCAGGCTACTAATACAGATTTTTTGTTTCGTATTAGCTTTCTTTAGATATTTTTATTTTAATGAGTTAGGAGAATTCTTTTTTCTTGCATGTGGGAATAGTTAATTGTATAAAACTGAGATTACTTATGCAGAAATAGAATCAGTGCTGTTGCAAAATTACTAAAATGTTGAATTTTTTTTGTTTTTTCTTATTAATCATTTCACCCCAAGCAAGGCAACAAAGCCACTAACGTGCAAGGAGTTACTGAGTGTGAAAGAATATGAGTAAAAGAAAACATTATTAAGGAGAGAGAACAATAAACGAATTGAAATTAAGAAGACAGAAGATAATTGTCGACATTGCATTTAAATTTTTGAAGATCAAACTTGACTGGAAAGCAAGAAACTGGTAGAATATTCCACAAGTGAGAACTGCAAGAGAAGAAACTGTTAGCATAGAATTTACGGTTGCAGCTAGCCATTTCCACTGTAAAATGATGAGACCTTGCTATCAATCTAGTAGTATGCTTAAATTCATAAAGTCTAGGTACCAAAGAGGAAAGAACAATTGCCATGAAAATATTTGTAGAAAAGGTACAGGGAAGTTATGTTACAGTGGTGGAAAATTGACTGAAACAGATGTCAGATCAAGACCAATAGCATTGCAGATTCTTTATATTTTATCAAGAATCTCTAAATACATAGCAGAAGCACTAGGCCAGATGTGTCAGCTATATTCAATGCAAGAATGAATAGTAGACTTATAAATTTTAAGATAGATTCTGATGAGAAAAATTATCTAACACTGTACAGTGAACCAACTTTCCTAGCAGCAGACCTAGCAATTGATTCAATAGGATCTTTCCACTTCATGTCAGTGGAAAACGTTAGCTCAAGAAGTCATAAGGAGTCACTTTCCTGACGGTCTGCATCAGCCATGCTGATGGAAGGAAAAAGTGAATTTGTAAAATGCAATGAAAGTAGGGGCTATATCTTTAGCTAGGGATTTTGGCCAAGTTTGAGGGAAACCAAGGAAAATAGTCAGAAGATTGTACTGAAAAAGCAACTCTTTTGTGATATATACCTGTAGCTGTGCCATGGACAACCATAAGGCTTGTTACTGACTTCAACGTTAGCAACATTGAGTCACTCAAGTTGACTTCAGTGACCATTACTGATAGCCCATTGGATATAACATTTATTTAATCTGAAACTGCTTATGAGCATAATGAATCTCTTATTTCAGATAAATCGATATAAATAATTCAGTGCTGGAATCTTCAAGTTTTCAGTACTGTGCTGTGCCTTCTGAGATCATTGCAAATGTCTGATTATGAGTTAGAGTATTATGATTCCATATTTAATACATGTACAGATTCATATTGTTGAAACAAGCTGATAGTTAAATACTTCCATATTTGTTGTTTTATCACTCTTCTATTGACTATTTTCTTTAGACAAGAAAAATTTAGAAGAAAAATCCTCAAAAACAAAGATTGTTGTGTAATGAGATAATCAATAATTTTCAATTTCTGCTCATTGTGTCACTCGTCAATCAGTGTAATCAATTATTTTTAGCTATCATGAATCATTTGCACCCACATGTGCACACACTCTTTCTTCCTCAATATCTGTAGAAGTGATATTTTCACTGTCAGACTAATAAAATTAAATTACATAATAAAAGCTTTTATTGGCTTTAGAAACTTTAGGATTCCCAAGACAGAACATGTCTATTTGGATTCAAAAGTTTGATATTTTGTTTTTAGATTAACAGGTTGATTTGTTCCAACACTGATTTCATAATCTGCAGCATAACTGCTTAATCAAGTTATACCAAAAGAGTGAGGAATATCCTACAAGCTTTAATTTACTTCATCCTATTTTGAAATCTCTCTTCCTCTCTCTCTCACTTGCACACCCAATTATAGAAATAAAACTTTTTCTTAAAACTCTGTGCAAAGAATTAACTTCATTAATTACACATATCCTGAACACTAATTTCTTCTATAATTTTTGTTAAAGTAAAAATAATAAGATGCAGCTGAAATCTTTATTTTTAACTTTTCTTCTATATGTATGCAGAATGTTAAAAGAAAATAAATGTGATTTTAATCTGATCAATTGAGAAAACTTTATTTTATAATTTACTATTAAAACAAGACTTATTAAAAAAAAAAACTCTTTTTCTCTTGTATTAAGTCTTTCATTATTGATATTAAAAATGGATATGACAAATGAAAAAGTTTTCACTTATACAGAAATGAACTCTTCTAAAAGCAAATTATATACTTACTAATAAACTTGAAATAATGTTATAATTTGTGATAAAATGATCAACACAGAAAAAAAATTATCAGTACCACTAATGTAAAGAACTTTTGTCTTATTGTATATACAATAATTTAAAGATAAAAGTTCTTTTTCATGTGTTGCCTGTGAGGACTTTCACCTCTCTTTTTATGCATTGCATATGTCAATGCAAACATGCATTTGTATTTACATATGAGATAGACATTTACTTTTTCATATTTCCTGAATTAATTCTTATTATCTGAAATATTTGTAAGCATAATACTTTTAAAATAATCTGAAAGTGATAACTTCCTCACCCTCTTATTTCTTTCTCAGTAGAAAAATGTTCATTTTTCACCATCATCCTCATCTATCTTTTTCATATCAGTATTTAGATTTTTACACAAGTTGAAATAATTTAGAAATAAAGAAATCAATATAAAGGGTAATGTTTGAATTGCAATGTATTTGAAATCTTCAAGCATCATTCATTATTATTTCATTGAAGAAGCAATTAAAATGTATGTCATAAAAAAGACACTCGATACTTTTTATACTGTCTTGAGAAGCAAGAATGTAATTTGGATTAACCTTTGTGAAAAGGTTAATCCAAATGATATTCTCTTAAGAACATTCCAGAATTGCATATCTTCCATAAATGTATTGACTTTATTAATCTTAACTTGCTAGCGTCATCGTTTTTGTTCTAACCTATTTGCTGCCTCAGCTGCAGGTAACTTGAGTGTTTCTGCTTAAATAGTTTACTCATATTTCCATTTTTCATGCACTCTCTTGCCATCAACTTTCTTCTCCCTTGGCAAATTCTCACTTCTTGACTCGGTGCACTTGCACTTATTATCCACTAAGCTTTCTATAGAATTAAAGATAAGTTTGATGGGAGGAACTACCTGCAAGTTGTTTACCTGAGCTTATTTTGATCTTAAACTATTTTTCAAAAAAATAGGTTGACTGACTGTTATTTTGAGTGTCTTAGCAGACATAATCTCTGGAAAATCTTTTACATACCATGACTCATGCAGACTAGTAAATTTCTTCCTGTTACCAAAAAAAAATCTTAAAATAGAAAATATGGTTATCGATATTTAATAAGCTTAGCTTTAAGTGACACAAAGCTAAATTAGAGGAAATAGAACAAAAATGATTGTCATTAAACCAATGTAACTATTGTGTTAGAACAATTTTTTTTATGAAAACAGAGAAAAATGAGTTGTATTTTCATTATTTGATGCTTTTTTTGTTTCTGGGAAGAAAAAACACTATATAAAAAAGATATGTGCCATTTATGGAGATGGTGCCATTGCTGAGAGTACTGTTCATAAGTGGTTCACTAGATTCAGAAGTGGAAATTTTTATCTGGAAGACCAAGAATGTTACAGTAGGCCTGCAGTTATTGATGATGACCAGATCAAAATACTGATTAAAAATAATTTAGGTCACACAACACATAACAGTGAGATTCTATATAACTCATAAATGTGTTGTAAGACATTTGAAACACTTGGGTGAATGAATTGCTATGTTTGGGTGCCTCACAATTTAATGGAAAAAAATTAATGGGCTGCATTTCCCTTTGGGATTTTCTACTCGTATGCAACAAAAACAACCAATTTTTGAAAAGAATGATTACAGGCAGTGAAAAATGGATTGTTTACAATGTGGAGCAAAAAAGGTCTTGGAGAAAACAAAATGATGGTCTGTATTTGAAGGTGATGTTATGCATCTAGTGAGATTGGAAGACTATTAAAAGCCTCTCTTGCAAAACCAGACATTGAATTAATGCAAGAACTGTTCCCAATTGGATTGGACTGATTAACCCTTCTTCACCAGTTATTTTGGGGGTAAAATTTTCATTTTCAGACAATTTTTTTTTTATTTGTTTTTAATATAGTAACTAAGAAACTGAAGCACCTTGAAGTACCTGAGCAGTGGCTAACACCTCTACTAGACATGTGAATTGACAATTGGACTCATTTCAAGCTCAGAAGGACATAAAAAGAATCAAGATCGACATGTAAACATATCTGTAGCTGGTTTTTGAACATTGTTTTGGATGTGTTTATTTGTCCGTGTCTGAAAAAAGACACCTTTGGTAAAAACATATATACACATCTATGCCAGAGAAGGGGTTAAAGGCAGCAATCAATGAAAAGTGTTCAGAATTAGCCAAGCGGAAGGATATTGTTTTTCATTAGAGCAAATCCAGACCATACATGTCTTTTTCAGACCTTGCAGAAATTAGTACATCTTGGCTGAGATGCCCTACTACACCTACTGTACTCTCCTGACCTTACACCTTCAAATTACCACTAATATCATCAAGAATAATTCATTGTAATTTTGAAATATAAATTCTAATTTCTTTTTCCTCTGATTGATAAATGTTGGCTGTATCTTAATATTGCAACAAAAATCCTTTTAAGTTCTTCTGTCTGTGATCTAAGTGAAAATCAAAATTATTGAAAGTGAAATACTTATTTTTTTTTTTTTATTATTATAGATATTTTTTTATGCACTTATTTTGCATTCTAACTTTAAAATATTGTAAAGAATAGATGTTTCCTCAAAAGAATTCTCCTCAGAGTAGGTGGCCAATTGAATTATATCATATTGTTGTATTTTGGCATGAATCCTCTATCAACTAAGTGCATGGTCTGTCATGTGAACATAAATACAGTATCAGGCTTTAAAACTAAATCTGTATAACAAAGACTTTATGGCACAGATATTAATATTTCTAGAGTAGTTTGAAAAATGTGATTAAGGGTGTAATATTATGGACTTAATTCAAAAGTCAATCTAAAACTAATAGATGTGGTTGATTTTAGCTTGTAATTAAATTTATAAAATAAGCTTTACTTTTGGCTTAATTCTTTTTCTTTTTTGTTGCAGATCGTCAAAGATGGTATTACAGCTTCAACAAATCTTAAATTTGGAGATCGAATTCTGGAAGTGAGTGTGAACTGCTAATGTACCTATCCATGAATTGCATTTTCATTGTTAGAGATCCAAACAAATTCCTTAAAATTTATGAAAAATTGTGTGCGCATGTGTACATATATAAAATCAATAGAAATGAATTAAGAAAAGTAGTAAGTGCAATTGCCAATTTCATGCCAGGTGATCTTCAGGCATATAATATACCTCCTAGGTTGGATATTATTGACAGATGGATGTGTAAGAGTCAGTAAACATTGAATCAAGTGTTAGATAGGATTGTAAGTAACCAGTTTTGATGTCTACATTTAGAAAGTAATTCAGGATGTTATTCAATAGTCTGTCATATTTGAGGCTATTTTTAAAATGCATAATTTTTCTTCTAACCAAAACCTAATATATATGAGAGAGATTGTACTTGTATAGATAAATGAACATGCATTTATACTTTTAAGTATTTGGATGTAACACCTTTGAATAGAAGCACCCCTTCCCATCATTTGGAAACAACTAAGACATATCAATAACAGTAACAGCAAGCAATACAAATCTAGTAGAAGATTAGAGAATTTAGGACCATGGTGTTTCCGTATGCTATCAGATTTTAGTAGGATTTGTTCATCAAAGAGCATTTGTGCCTGTGTTGGTTTGTGTGTTAATCTTGATTGCTTGGATATTGACAGTGAACATCAACTTTTTACTTTCAATATAAATCCTTGTGACATAGTTGGCTTTCTCAAAAAAAAATATGTATTGGTTTGTCAACTGTTTTTCAAGTAATGGAATAAAATGATGAAATTATGTGAGATCATTAAAAAAAACAAAAAAACACAGAATCTGAAACTTAGAATCTAGCAGATTGACTTGATAGAATGGTGGATCAAAGCTGTATCATTGACTTGATATCTGACTTTGGTTAACCTGACAAATTCAGTGATCATAGAAAATTAGAACCAATGGTGTGTAAAGTAACTATCTGTGATTAATGTCAAAGGTGAATAATAGTATTGGCAATGCAACTACTGTTATTTATCACTGTGCTCATTTGTTTTCTCTCTACAGGTAAATGGTAATGATGTGACAAATGCAACACATCAAGAAGTGGTTATGGCACTCATTAATCCTGGTCCTCAATTACATCTAAAAGTACGACATGATCCTCCACTTCCAGGTCTACAGGTAGTTTAAACAACACTATTTTCTCGACATTTTATAGCTTAACTTATTCTATTGAAAAATTCCTAATATTCTATTATATCAGCTAGTTATCAGCTCTAATTACTATAATAATTTGAAAATAAAATTTATGAATAAATCAGTTTACAGTTAACACTTTCTATTTATTAAGTTTCTTATTTTGTTTATAATTGTTTTTTAATTGACTTATAAGCAAAATAATTAATTTTCTGACTATGATAAGGAAAAGTGTATAAGAAATGAAAGTGAATATTATTAGTAAAATTAATACCTTTTTCTTGTATTTTAATAAATATTGATTAGCTAAAAGTACACTTATCAGATTTGATATTGTTTAATTTGTATGTTAAAGGAATTTATGTATAGCGAGTTAAAAATAATAGTGAAATTAACAATAAATTTTACATATTGAAACATTTAATTTCAAGTGAATTTTTTTAAGCATTTCAAGGACTTAAAATTTAAAGTTGTAACACCTGTTGATAAGAAAAATATACTTTCATTCTACAATTATCTTTGAGCACTACTTAATAATAATAATCAATCTAAAATTATGATAAATATTAAGACAATATTAAGAAATGTTAATATTGGTCTTTAATTATTATAAACTTTTGTTTGTAATATGCTTAAAATATAATGATTAAAACAAGACTAATAAATCATGAAATAATAACAATGTTTTGTCTAGAATTTTTGACAACTAGTTGTATTTGAATAGTTTTGTATTTTATGAACATGCTGCATGAAATCAAACACTTAGAGAACCTTTGCACCATCTTGGTTATAATGACTATGACATCCATTTATATTAATATTGTAATTGTTTCTTCTGTCATGAATTTAACAAGTATTAAACTTAGATTTTTTTTTTTTTGTTTTAGATTTTAAACTGAATTGTAGGGAAACATTTTTGCCTGGTTTTGAAATCAGTTATTTTCTCAGCTGTGTAAGCTAAGATAAATTAATCTAAACCATCTTGCTTCTTGAGACAAATGCACTTGAATTAAACTTACAAACTTCTATGAAATTACATTTTTTAGATCTGTAGGTGATAATTTTTACCTTTAAATTTCTCTTATAATTATTTATTTTTTAAATCTAAGAATCTTTTTTACAAAAATATGTGGGGGGGGGAATCATTTTTCATCTTAATTTTATTTGCCTTCTAAATCAATAACATTCAGTTAGAACTAGAGAGAAAATGATGGCAGTTACAATGCTATGCCAGGTTTTTTGTCATAATTCATCTGCATTCTTCCTGACCCCTGCTTATTTAGATAGTAATTTTTATGCTTACATTTTGTTTCTACAGGAATATTCTATTCACAAAGGCTCGAGAGAGAAGTTAGGCATGAGTATTAGAGGAGGTGCCTTAAATTACGCAGACAACACAATCGACCGAACAGATGATGGTATTTTCATATCCAAGGTATGTAATTGTTTTAGAATTATTTGAGATATGGAACTTCTTTGTGACTCCTAGTATTTTCTTAAAAAATAGTTTTCATCTCTTTCATACATCACAACTTCTTTCCAACAACAAGCATATATGAATAATTTAAAAAAATTTTCTTGTTTTTCTTTCCTTCCTATCTTTGAAAGTATTTGGCTTTCAATATTTGGTAAGCATATACATTCATGATTGAATTTTATATATAGTTAAAAAAGCCATTGGGGGTAGTTTTGCTTCAAGAATTATACACTACATCTTGCATTATTAGACAATTTTATCAATATATAAAATAAATACATATTAAGATCTAGAGATTTATTTACTAAATGATAGCAACATTTATCTGTGCAGTTAAAATGAAAGCCTGTTTTTTCTTTGTAAAGGTAAACAAATGGCAGCCATTTGTATTGAAATGTCCTGAATTTCAAAATCTCAAATTACATTGTGAGTTTGAAGCTTTAAGATTTGACAGATACTCTTATAACTTCAAACTAGAAAAATGAGGCCAACCTCTAGGTATACTGTTAAGACATTATAAAAAAAAATCAATGAAATGGGGGGAAAAAGAATACCTAAAAACTGTTTGTTTTTTTTTTTTTTTTTTTTTTCCCTTCCTCACTTGGATGCCAATGTTGTCCTTAATGTGCCAAATGGTTGTAGCAATGGCTCTGTGTCTCATGCTCCCAAAGGTTGAGATATCAACAAAACAGAAGGTGGAGTGATGCTGTGGGATGGGATTATAGGTAATGAAGTAGTGGATTCATGGGGAATTCCAGATGGGGTTATGATGACATTTCAAGCAGACACAGATTTTTATTTCTTTATGGTTTGTATCGCACCATGGCTAATTGTCAAATAACTTCATAAAGATGAATTTTATATTAAACAATGCTCTCACATTTGGTTTAGAGGGAAAAAAAATGGAGTATCTGAATAAAATCGGTTTCAGAGGCACTCTTTTGGTGAAGTTTTTGTTTGTTTAACTGACCTTAACTTAATTGAAAACTTATGGAGCATTCTGAAGAATTTTGATTGCTAGACTGCAATTTAATGACCTTAAAGATGAACTTTAAAGAAATTTAAAGATGACCTTTGGAATGCCATCCTTGATGCCATGCACTCTTTCATATATCTACAACAACTGACAAAATTAATGGATGAACACCTTTTTAAACTAATTTTTAGAATATGGAGCATACATTTTTAATTAATGTTACTACTTTGTTGTCATTACAATGTCATTATTTTCATTTTATTAATCATTTGTCTTTATAGACTTTATACACATTCTGTTATTATAATTTTGAATTACAATATTATGTTTCTTGGTGTTTCAGCAACCTAGCTTATGAAGAGAACTTTGGAAAATTCAGTAAAATTCATAAAATGTTTGCTACACCATATGAGTGACATATAGTTTACTATAATTTATACAAATTATGTGTAATATCCTGCACATTAATAGTACATATTTCCATTAATCATTAATTTTTTTTTTTAATTTAGGAAAAATTAAGTGTTTGACAATGTGTAATGCATGTCTAAGTATTTTTTCAAAATGTTTGTATAAATATGAATCTAATTTTGATGATTGCATATACATTAAAAATTCAATTTTGTATATGTAGTTAACTTTAATGGATTCAGGAATCTAACCCTGCTGGTGTATTTTTTTTTTTTATATAGTAAGTAATCATTATTAATAGGTGCATAGCATATACAAAATCTGGTTAAACTCATTCAAGAAATAATGCACTCAAATTGTTTCTAATCCATATAAGCTATCTTATAAATTCATTCCGCATAATGCCTTCAGGATTTATGATAATCTTGACTATCAAGAAAATAATATCAAATTAATTAGATATTGACTGATTAACTTATCTATGGCTAATTGCAGCATGTGCTTCTCAGTTAAAGTCCTAATTGATCTGCTTTTTTTGTCATGGGTATTGCAGTTTCTTCAATGGGAATAATTTTCTTCTAAATTTATTTGCATTCTACATCAATAACAAAATCAGTTAGAACTGGCATGGGACTTTGGCAGAGAGAAAATGATGAAAATGCTGAGTATTTGCAGTAAAGTTTCTGTACAAGTTTTAAAATCAGATTCTCTTTCTCTAAACAAGTTTGACCAATTTCTCAAAACTTTTTAATTTTAATCATTTGTTCAAACTTGTACCTCAACATTCTCATGATCTGTCCACAGTATTTTGTTGTTTATAAGACAAATTTATTTCCCATAAAATATCTCCAGAAATCACCCTGTGTCTTGTAAATCTAAGCTCAGTGATGAGTTAAATTCTCTTTTAATTATAATATTCTAAATAGTTACTATAAATTTGGTACTTCTCAGTCTGTGATGAATTTATGATTAGTCAGGGTTTCATGCTGAAATATGCTATTCAGTGGGTAAAATTGTGTATAGCCAGGGGGGCTAAAGTAAAAGCTTTTTTCCAAATTTCTTATTTAAAAATTTGGGAGAGTATCTAATGCATCGGAGCATCTTATAAGCAGCAAAATATCAAGTTATGGTCAAGTTTTACTACTTGGGTGTGTTTTATATCGTGCACATACACACTCAGTTCTTTTTAATAAAATATTTCAGTCAAGCAATTTCATGCTAAAAGCAGGTGCTGAAAAATTCTCAGCCTAACATACTTACCAAAATCTGATTGCATATCAGGATATTTTAATTTCTTCTTGGTTGGGATGAGAATTTTTCAGTATCATTTGTGTCAAGATTTGGAGTTTCAGATTATTAATTTTCTGTTTATTTTGAAATTTTATTAGTTTTTCCTTTTCTTTTTTGTAATATAAGAAATTGGATTGCCTTATCAATTTTCAAAAGTAGGCTGTTTGAATGTCTGAAACCTAAAATGCAGAATTTAATTTTTTTTTTTTAATTTTCAAGATTATAAACATCTTTATGTAAAGAAAAAATTGAGAGTACAAAATCTTAGTTAATTTAGTTTAATATCTCCATTTTGTATCTCTATCTACACACACACACTATCTCTCTCATATATATATATATATATATATATATATATAAGCTTGACTGGAAAATGTACTCTTCCTACATATCCTACAAATTATTTGATTTGTCATATGCAATCAAATACAACATCTTACCTCTGTAAAAATATTTGAAAATATTTTTGCATTTTATTTTAATTTTTTATTTATTTTGTTGTCTTTAGATTGCTCCTGATGGAGCAATTGCTCGGCATGGGAAGCTCATGATTGGACAGAGAATATTAGAGGTAAGCTAATGTTCCACTTAATGTTTTCTAATACAACTAGTATGATTTTCCTGCTAAAGATGTTAGCTTTTTTCCTATCCATATTAACTGTCCTTAAGATTTTGCTATATATCTGCTATAGTGGCTAAAGTATCATGTTTAGCTCAGGCCTAAAGGTATTTTTACAACATTAGATAAGATTTTAATGCCATGTCTTTACTGTTTGCTCAGTCAATAACAGCAGATCTAATATATATATATATATATATATATATATATATATATATATATATATTGTCAAAGAATCAGGTGCTTGTTGAAAATTAGGTTGATACTCAATTTCCTATGGAGTGTGGGAACAAAAATACCAACTTGGTGTTAGTCTCAACACCAACACGCTGTTAATGTTGAAATTGCTCTGTAAAATGCAGAGAGAACAAATTGAAGCAGTAACAAACACTGTAAAAAAAACAAATAAACAGTTCTTTTTGAATATCTTTAAAAATGCCACTAAGTATATGGCACACTATGGTGTTAAGATCAAGAATACTGAAAGAAAATTCCATTAAAAGGTAATGTAAATTACTGTAGTATATATTTTCTTCATGTGTTATAGCTTTAACTGGAACTTCTAATTTTACAATTTAGAAAAATAAAACACAGATTTAAACTGTTATGGCAAGGCAATGTTTTCACAATGTAATTACTAATATGTTGATATATTACTCATGTTCTAAATACCAACATTGGTTAATACTAGGTTCCTCCACTAATTTTTGATACCTTTGTTTAAAATGAATTTTATAAATGAAAAAGTTTTCTTGGATCTTTCATTTTAGCTTTAATTGAAAGCTAAAGCATTAAATTTACTATTTCCAGTAAGAAAAATACTCTAGTGTATTTCAAACAGAAATTATATTTATTGGAATCTTCTTTTTTTTTTTTTTTATTTTTTCTGAAATAGCTGATTAGCATCCATTTCTTTTAGTCATCTTTCATCACAATGTAATTCCCTGTATTAAATCTTCCAAAAATAAAATATACTTTTCTGAAACTTTATTTGAGTAATACTAACTGATTTAAAGTATAATTAATCTGATTTGAAAATATATTATTTAATTTAAGTTTAAAATAATGCAGAAATGTATTTTTAAAACAAAATGACAGCTGTTTTTAACCAACATTGCCATGTTTTACATAACTGACAAGGTGTTGAAGTTTTGAAATAATGATTGTTGTTCTATAGAGAATTTATCTGTAAAACAATTTAAGAAAATAACATGAGCACACTTATATATATATATATATATAAAATTTTTAAGTATTCAGTAATCTTAAAAATCCTGGAAAATATTCTCTGTAATCTAATTTTAAGAATGTTGACTTTAAATCTCTTATAGTCATTGCTTTTATTTTCTGACTATGTTGTATATGGTCAACCATACTTTCAAAAATGTGCATATTACAAAATATTTGATATACATGAAAAAAAATTTTAAATTATTTAAAAAAATCTTGGTGCAAAATAATTTGTTTCAAGATTTTCAATTTTTGATTAGAAAATATACTTTTCACTTAATAAAAATATCACCTAACTGGATGAAAGTAATTCAGGATTTTAAATGATTTATATATCATAAATTATTATAAATAAATTAAAAAAAAAAAGAAATTAATTCTTGTAAAAATTCATTATTCATCAAAAAAATTTTTTTTTCTTAGGACAATATTGTCCTTAATAAATTTTATTTATAAAAGCAATTAAAAGCTTTTCTAATTTAGTTTTATTATTGCATTTTTTAATTTGCGATTCAGAACTGATTTTCAGGAAATGTGTAGTAGTTTGAAAACAAAAATTAATGATTGACTTGGGATGAAAATTTAATTTCATGAAATTAAGTAGGGCAGTGGGGGAGGGTAACATGAACTTCTGCATTTTTTCTTTTTCTTTCTTTCTTTTTTTTTCTTTTTTTTTTTCTTTCTTTTTTTTTCTTTCTGTTCACTAGATTTGGTATTTGCTAATGGTTTTGATGGAGGCGTAGTGGAGTAATGGATAGTGGCACGGATTGAGGAATCGGAGAGCCGATTTGGAATTCCAGTCGAATCCATTACATTCACTTACGTGCTAATACCCTTGGGAAAGGTATGAAACCTCTTCTCCCCCCAGCTATGGGTAAATAGCAAGATAGACCAGGTTCTATAGCCTTGGATGGCAAGTCTACTGCAGAAAGAAATGGCCTTGTCAGTCATGTATTGAGAGATACATGATCGCCTACGTGTGTATCACGCATGGCACTTCTCATATTATTGTTAGAATGTTAAGCTTCATGCCAAACAAAATAAATCCTTTAGGTGCTATCTCCATTACTGTCAGTAATGTTTATATACTTCTAAAATTTTTATTTTTTATTTCAGGTAAATAATGAGAGTTTACTTGGTTCCAGTCATAAAGAAGCTGTAGATGCCTTGCGCAGTGTTGAAGGAAATTTTACAATTCTTGTGTGTGATGGCTGTTCTGAAGAGGAAGATCTCCTTAACAGTGCAATGATACCTTCCCCAGTGACACCCGTTTTGTTCAAGCCATTATCAACCTCTAATTATAGTATTGACCAGATGGATTCCTCCTTTACTATGCAACAGGTTATTTTTTATTTATTTCTTTCAATTTGTGTGTACATACATTTTAGAAGTATATCAATTTTGGAGTCAGATTTTAAATTCATGCTTATATCTATTTTAGTTTCTTTCAACTTAACATTGATGATACAGCCATTATAACTAGATTATATTTATTTCTTTAAAATGTATATTTAAGCAACATGCCACAAATGAAAAACAATAAAATACGTGCTCATTGACAAAGAAATGAATTGTCAATTAAGAATTGAATATCTTCACATTGTAGATGCTGGTGTACATAAAAAAGCTTATTTAAATCAGAAATTGTACATACTGAAAATATATAGCACACACTTTTTTGTTACCAATGGTTTCTAAGCATTAACTTCTTTTTTTGTTAAGTATGATAAGAGCTGATTTAAACTCATTGTTCTTCAAGACCTGGAGTATAATACTACCCCTGTAACGAATCAAGTCTAATAAACATATCACATTGTACATATTATTACAATGTTTATTTACTTAGAATAAATTTCTCGAGATTTTCAACTATATATAAAAACTAGACCACCTGTGATCTGTTGGGTGGTGGATTTCATGTGTTTTATACACTTTCTTGTAAGAAAATTGGTTCCGAAATTAAATTATTTATTTACTTTCTAATTGGCCAAAATAAGCCATGTGGTATGTCTGCACAATATTTTGGTGATAGTGGCATGGATCTTAATGACAGCTGTGTATATCCTGTTTAGGGCCGGATTTTTTGTGTTCTCCATTTCCTCCCCACCACCTCCTACACAATAATAAATTTACATCTTTCTTTACCCACTCTCTATATATGACTTCTGGCAAACACAAGCAAACAAAGTTCTCAGAATAATAGACACCTGCAGCAAGTTTTGGAATATGTATGGTACAAGATCAGGTCATACAGGAAAAGAAGAATAAATGTTATTGATATATAGAAAATTGAAGCAAAAGCACTTTCAATAAATAAAGGAATTTCACTAGGAAATATGATTTAACTGAAATTTTAACCCTAAAAAGATTTCACAATAGAAATGGTAAAATCTTTCATAAGCTGCAGCATTTGAGAATTACTCAAATGAAGACAATTTATAAAATGAATATGCTTTACATTGTACTTAAAGTAGATGTTTTTTAGCATATCATTTTTATTTTTATTAATTATGCCAATGTCTTAAAACTTTTGGATATTGAGCCCTTTTGGATAAAATAATGATCGATTTTTCTCGAGAATAGCAAAATACTTTATTCAAATATTTTTCAATAATATTTAATTACTTTCTTTTGTATTCTGCATAAATGTGTGTGTATATATATATATATATATATATATATATATTTACTTTTTTCTATATACCTGTCTGTAATTTGATAGTCACTGGATGAATTTTTATCTGAAATTTTCACAATATTGTTAGGTTTATGGAGAAATGTTAAGTTCATTGACAAGGAAGATTATCTTCAAAAGTAAATATTTGTAGAGAAATAAAAAATAATTTGTATAAAATACCAGTAGGCTGCAGGATTACTGATATATGTATGTATATACATTGTAAGCTTGTGAACTTGATACATTAGATGGTTCAGGAAATAATGTTCAGTTTGTCAAGAAAGTTGCATTTCTTCTCAATGAAGAATGGGGGATCCAGATCAGGAGTAACAGTCAGGTTGGTTCCCCTGCATTGTTTTGCAAAAATACTGCCTCATTTTTGCAACCTCAACACCTGTCAAGGATCTATTAACAATAATTAAAATGTATCGTAATTGTAGCTATCTAGCAGAGAAACTTAAAGGTATAGTTGCTGTCCTGGTAACATTAGTTGGTGGTGGCCTATTTCTTCTCCCAGTAATGGCTGAGTAACATATGTTCCTTTCAGTAACAATTGTGGATTAGTCTGACAATGGACACATGCTGGTTTAGCTAAGAACTCAAAAATTGAACTGCTAACAAGTGGAGGAGGGAAAGCCTTTTTTATAACACAGACTATAGTTTTGTGAGGTATACCTTATTTGCCACGATATGCTAATGCACAGGAAATTCAGACTAACTGCTGTCCTGTGTACCAAAACAACATCCTCTTTTTTTCCACAAGTTTTAGAATTTTATTCTAAATGAATGTATTTAAACAGTATTTAAATCACTCAAAATAGGAACCCTGAACATCTGTACATTTCTGCCATTGAATTACTAGATTATTTATACTTTTACAATAAAACTCTAAAGATTTGGATGCCAAGTTTTTGAATGCAGTTTTTGCATCATGTATATTGGCTTAAAAAAATTGTCAGGATGCTTGCAAAAGTGGTAGTCAGTGGGTGAGAGATCAGAAGTATATGGTAGATATGGCAGTCTTGTATCCCAAGGTAGCAAGTTTCTGCAGTGTTAAGATGTGACTGAGCATTATCATGAAGCAGAATTGGAGCTTGTCAATTAATCAGTGCTAGTTGCATTTTACTTAACTGAATGTGCATTTCAACTAGTTGCTGGCAGTAATCTTCAGCAGTGATGCTCTGGTTAGATTCATGAAAGCTGTAATGGATAACACCAATCACAGACCACCAGGCAGACACCATAATCTTCTATTGGCACGATTTCTTTTTTCAAAAGTGTTTTGAGTGCTTTATCATGATCAGGCCATTGAGTCAATCATTTAAGTAAATGGTGCAGCCACTTGAATCTGAGAATCAATCTACTAGGACAGCTAGCTAATCCACATTGTAGACATCTGCTCAGGCACATTTGTGTTTGTTCGACACCCACAGACCCCATCTGTGGTTTATACTGCAACTATGCTGAGTGGACCTTAGAGTTTCTGGGAGAGAATGTGTTATCTAGTGTGATCAGCAATCTGAACAAGGCTAATACACTCAAACCCTCAGTCACAATGACTTGTGACTTTGTGCTAGTGCAACCACTGACTGCTCCCAAGACCTCCATCTACCCAATTTCACTCACAAGACTTGGGTCAACCCGTGGTATGGTTTTCAGGCACTTTCCAAAGATGCTGCATGTTGGGATTGCTTTCTCCAGACCGATAACAACAAAAAGTCACCTTCCTGACAAAATGACCATGATGAGATTTGAACCCGGGTCTCATGGCCAGAAAATGAATTTTCTAACCACTCGGCCATGCACCCATATAAGCCAATCATTTACAGTTGTTCTAAAGCAGTGGTTCTTAACCAGGGGTGCTTGCACCCCATAGGGGTGTGATATCAGTTCTTAGTGGGTGTGAAGATACAGAATCATTAAGGTTGGTTTATTAAGGAAACCCTAGTGTAGTGTTGATGAGGAGTTCACCTGGAGTAATTCTGGGCTTCTCATTTGGAAACATATCCTGTATTGGCAAAAAGAAAGCTCTTGCTCTGATGGTGCCTTTCGCGATTACATACCTGTTTGAAACTGGATTTTCCTATCTGCTTCACATCAAAACCAAGAGCAGAAATTGACTGGATCCTCAACATGACATGCAAGTAGCACCCAGCAACAAGACACTAAGAGCTGATATCATCATAAACAGAAAACATCAACAAAGTGACTGAGTTTGTTGCTCAACCATAATCATTCATGGCACACCATGCATAGTACAAGCGCATGTTACTGTAATTTTATTTTTTTTTGCCAATATGAAAGTAATCTAGGTTTTTGTAATGCCTTATTTTGTTGTCAGTTATGTGAAATAAGATTAAAGAAAAACAATGGTTTTGTTATTTATGCATAAGATCAATATTGTTTTTTATCAATTCTGGAAGTGGGGGATTTTGAGAACAGGTTGATGGTTTGAAAGGGGTATGAACAATGTGAAAGGTTAAAAATCACTGTCATAAAGGATCCATTTTTCATCACAACTCATTATTTGATCAAGAAATGGATCATTCGAATTTCGCAGATGCAGCATTGAACACACTTCAAAACGTCAAACTACTTGACTTTCACAGAGTTCACGTGGAACGCATTTATTGAGTTTCTTCACTGTGGCAAGCAGTACAGCATGCCGTTTCCAAATTTCTGGTGGAGTAAATTGTGTCATGGTGCCCAACTGTCCCTACTATTACTGTGCAGTCAACAAAATAAAAAAACAAACAACACATATTCATGAAATTAGAAATATAAAATGGCGACAATTTACCCATCGCATCCTGTAATGTTGATTATAGAATAAACCTTTTGTGTTATAACAATAGGTTTATTCTAAAATCAATATTATTTTCTGAACTACCTAATGATACAAATAAATCTATTATGTATCTGTGTATATTCTGTATGAACCTTGACTGATACATATTTAACTTTTAAAAGGTTCTACAAAGTTGTTTCAGATTAAAAAATAATAAAGCTGTGTTAGGATATCTTCCTTTTCTTTCTTTCTTCCTTTTTCTTCTTTGAATAAGTAAGAAAGAGCAGGATTCATTAAAGCGGAAGATGACGATTGACGTAACATTGCATTTAAATTTATCAAGATTGTAGTTGACAGGGAAGCAACTGGCAATTTCAACAATGAAATTATGAGACATAGTTATCAGTTGATACCAAAGAGGAAAGCTCTTTTAAATAATTACCATGAAAATATTTATAGAAGTGGCAAAGGGAAACTACATTACAGCAGTGGGAAAGTGACTGAAGTCGAGATGCCAGGTCAGGACCAATAACATTTTAGATTCTTCTTTGAATTTTGTCAAGAATCTCAAGATGTAGAACAGAAGCACCAGACCAGATTTAGCAACAGTATTTGATGCACAGTTAACGATAGACTTATAAATGTGCAAGATAGCCAGTTTTTCTTATAATCTCATAACATAATGAACCGATTCTCCTAACAGCAGACTTCGATATAATCATTCTACTTATTGTCAGTGGAAAATCTGAAACTTAAGAAGTTGCAGTGAGTTGCTCTTCTGGATGTTAGTATCATCCATACTGATCGAAGGTAAAAAAAGGTTCTTTAAAATAGCGAGCAGTTTTGTTTTAAAATTAACAAGCCACTTCTTGCCCTAGTTAACCACAAATTAAAGGCAAGTTTGTTTTTTTTGTTTTCTTTTAGATCATTTGCCAATTTGATTTTATTGAATGTATCAGATTTACTATTAAAACAGGAGTAAATAGTTGTCATCAACATAGATACCAAATCTGGAACTGATGCCATCAGCAAGGTCATTGAGGAAAATAAGATATAGTGATTCATAAGAATAGAGCTCTGTGAGATGCCCACATTAATGCAAAAATATCTAAAGAATCTATCTATACTTCTGAGATGAGTTATTGTAATTATTTAAACTACTTATAGTGTTCAGATTGTTATCCTCATCTTTGTTGCCATATTCACAATGTTTCAGTTGCTGTATGCTTCAGCCTTCTTCAGGTGATGGACATTTCAAACTGAACCCTTCAGATTGTTCTAGTTCCATGTGTCATGCCTCTTCTGGATGTCTCGGTTACCTCCCTTTAACTCAACTCTCCAAGTTTTTGTTCACCACAGCAGTAGCCAGGTGCTGAACTCACAACTCTTTGTGTTAAGTCACTGGATCCAACCAACGCTTTTATACACTGGGCCATTTGTCCTGTTTTTTTTTTTTTTTTTACCAGATTACCATATTGCAATTGTTGTTATTGCTAGAGCACTCTGTGTTACTGGTTTCCATATTGTCTTCATTTTTATGTTTGGCCAGCTTAGATTTTTCGTTTTCATATTTCCCAGTGATGTACTCGGCCTATTATTTCAACCTAATCCCACAGGGGGCAGTGATCTCCCTTTTCCTTCCATATGTGGTCAGTTACTCCTGATTTTCTATTTCCCTTCATGTTACAGCTTTACTCTTGAGTTCCCATGGTCCAGTAGTAGCTGAACCTTTTCCTGGTGTGGCCAAAGTATAAAGGTATCATCTACATATCTTGGCCATAGGGTTGGCTTTAGTGATGTGGATTCTAATGACATTTCTTGTTGAGGATTGTTGGTCAGAATTATTAGGGAAACAAGTAGGGAAGTCTACTTTATGACAGAGAGATTGAGCAACAGAAAAATTGAAAGTCTGTATACCAGCAGCATCAGAAGTATTAGAATTATGAAGCCATTTGATGTGATGAGCATTAAAATCACCAAACACAAAGATGTTTGCAGCTGAATGTAGAGAGAAGCCATTCTATATTGTCAGATATTTTGTCTATGATGCTATAGTCCTAAGAAAGTAAACATTCTCTATATATTAATGATAAATATATTATTAATATTAAGTATTTTGTTTTACAATTTTAAATCTTTTGCTTCCAGCCTGAACAAGTGATAGAAATTGAAAATGAAACCGAGACAGAAAAAGCATTTACTCAGGTAAGATATTGCTGGTGTTTCTTTATTTTTATTGTTTTCTCCTTTTATAGAGGCAGGTACAAAATCTCACGAGCTATTTACCCATATACAGGTTTAGCTTAGTCACTTTCTTTCTTTTTATCCATCATATTTTCATTTATGATAAATGAGAATTACTGATTGTTATTTTTTGCTTATTTTCTTTTTTTGTGTTCAATTTTATATTAATTTTGCCATATTCTTTCTTTGGAATAAAATCAATAGCATTGTTTTAAAAAATGAAGATTTCACAATGCTAATAATGAAATTCTATCACTCATGAATATGGCTCAAAACAAAATTTTATTAGTGCCATTACACTGCATAAGTGATTTGTCTTTGTACTGCGTAAACTGTATTTGTAATTTGTAGGTGATGAGGTTAATGTACACATATTGTAACATTCCATGTGCATTGCATTTGGGATCTCAGCTACTTATATATGTGTCACAACTAAGTCAGCATTAATGTTGGAAGAGAAATTTTATTTCTGATACAATTTGGATGGCCTAACATTCATTGTTAATGGAAAGTGTAAGATCTAAGCAAGAAATAATGTACTGCTATATTGCTTAATATTCAATAATGACTCTGTTCTTGGATAAGGACAAACTGTGAAAGGTATGTCCATTTGACAATATTTTTAGTAGACAGGAAAGTTTGCTATGATCTTAGTAATCTATGTCTAGATGAGAGAGAAAGCTCATAAAAAATGATTCTATATTTATTGAGTATTTTTCTTCTTCCTCCACCTGGAGATGTCTGTTAAATATCACAAGTATAGACTGATTATGAAAATAGAGCTTAGAGATCTGATTTAATCTTAATCCATTACAACTACAACCAATTCAAGCTCCATTTCAACCTTACCAAAGTTGTTTGTTCATACTTTATAATTAAAACCAATGACTTCCTTTTTATATTCATTATTGTTAGAATTCCCTAATGTTATCTGGATATTGTTTAATCAGGTAAAATGTTGCTTAATGTTAGATGGTCAAATATAGACTGGTATTTGGACATAAATTTGATTATAAAATCATGTCTGTCAAGTCTTATACAGAAATTAGATCCTTATCAACTTTTATTAAAGTGTTTTGTAAATAACAAAAAAAAGTTTTGTTTGTTCATAATTTACCAACTTTAAAATACATTGTCTACAAAAAATGTTAAATAAGTACTTGTTTGCCATACCTATCTCCATATGATGTAGACTATAACAAAAAGTCAGTTTGTATTTTGTATATTTATCTATATTGTTATGTGTCGAAGAACCTGATACCAGAATTGTTTTAATTTACTCTATGAAAGCAAAAGCAAAAACAAAATGCACCTTAACACAAACATTATTCAATACTGTAGGCTTTACTCTGTCATTGATGATTTTGTCTTGAGGACAAATACTTGGTAATTATATTGCCTTTCAGCTAAATATTATAATACATGTCGTACTATATTTGATGATTATTTTTTTTTTGATCATCAGTTTTTCTTATACACTCTTCTTAAAATTGTTATATAGCTTTTTAATATACTGGAGTATTTCAACATTTGATCAAGATAAACGTATGTCAACATAATTTCTTTCTCTGTGTTGACAATAAAAGCAATGAAGATATGAATCAGACACTGATGTTAGTTCACACTTCCTAACATATTTGATTAATGATATTAAGGAGATAGTGAAACTTAAATATGAGCAGGCATAAACTTCTATGATTTGACCATTTTATGTATATGGAAATAGCAAAATATTTTTGAAAAATCTTAGAAACTATTCTGTTTTGTTTTTTTAAAACAATAAATAATAAGTAAAGTTGAGAAATCAACTATCAACCTCTGAAGAATAACTTTTAAAATGTTTCTGGCTCCACTCCAATATATGAAAAAGATTAAACAAAGATCCTTTTCAGCATATTTGTGTTCTAGGAAAATATCTATTTCATCAAAATAAAATCTATATACAATAACATTAAATTTATATTAAATTTCAATGTCTTTAATTGATCAGGCAAAAGCTGTTAGGTTGGAAACAGCACCAATGATTCTTCAGATGCCAAGCAAGGGCCCAACCCTGAAAGCACCAGATGCAGGTCCCATCCTCAGAGCACCAGATGCAGGTCCCATCCTCAGAGCACCAGATGCAGGCCTAACCTTGAAATCACTTGATGCAAACCCTACTCTCAAAGCTCTAGATGTTGGTCTTACAGCACAAGTGGTAAAATTAATGGCTGGCTACCTTTTTTATAAATTATTTTTATTTCAAGTTAATCTTCTCTGAGGTTTTAAGTTCAAATACAGAGTAAATACATGACAAACAGGCCTATTGAAGGCCTATGAATAAATTATGTTCAAATGATGCAAGTAATAGGATTCATAGAAGATAAACCCGTGCAAAAGATGAATCAAAAATCATTTTGGAAGATTATTATTGTGCCTAGTATGCAAAAAAAACTATTCAGATAGGTTTTTGTTTTTTTTATTATGGCTATTATCCATTTTATATTATTCATACATTAAAAAATAAAATTGATGATGTGTTTTATTACCATACTTACTAATTTCTACTAAGCTAACACTTATTCCTGATAAATATACACAGCAAGTAATTATTCTCATATTAACCAGATATTTTTATTATACAAAAGGAATAGATGTAAAAACAAAATGTAATATTATAACCCAAATTCTTCCCTTTTGTCCTATCCTTAATAGCACACTTTTAACATGTTCACTGCTAAAGGTCAAGTGTAAAAACTATTTCAAATGCCAACTTTATAATAGCCAACTTAAGCAATAAAAATTTTTTATGAGTTGATTTATAACTTCAACTAAAGTCTCAACATTGTTTTCACACTAAAAGTATCATTGCAAATAAACTTGGTACCCGCAGATGAAAATATATCAGAAACTAACAAGCACAAGATAACTTGTAATCTGCATGAGATAACTCATAGTCATCATCATAATAAAAACTGCCAATCATGAGTTATTTCATGGCTGGCAGTCAGTGTTAACTTGGATTTCTTTTTTTGTAATCTGTTCTCAGAAACTGAATATGTTTTGCCGTTTTGGATACAATAGATTGACATCTCTGTAGTTTTATTGTCATTTAAATTGATTTTCTGCAAGATTAAAAAACCATTGCAATAAATCTGACAAATTTATAGACAATAGATTTGAATCAAGTTATATTTACAAAAAATCCATAATCTGTATTAATGTATATAAATGACTTGTGAAGTATAGGTAGAATGAATCTGTTGTATCGTGTTGTTCTATGACACGTGATGAGTAGTTTACTATACACTTTATATCTCTTCTACTTAACATGGAAATACATACAATCCTATTTACCAATCAACTACACCTCCCTGTACTGAAGAGTCTTGGAGAATGTCTTTGGTTGTTCTCGAATTTCTTCTATAACCCCTCTCCTCTTTTCCTCCTTGAGGTTTATGTCCTATTTTTTTTAATGGAGATCTTGGTCTCATCCCATTGTCTGTATCTGAATCCTTCCTGCTATCATCCACAGGCTTGTCTTCTATTTCATTTTCTGGATCTGAAGAACTCATCCTTTCTTCTCTGTCAAGGTCTTCTTCCTCTTCAATTCTGGGTCTTAGTTGGTCAGAATAGGCCATTAAGCCGTTTCCTTTCTTTGATATAATGATCATGTCCCCTTTGCATGATGAAATTAGCTCTTTCAGGACTTGCTACTTTGTCTTTCTTATACCACATCCTTTCATTTGTCGAATAAGACATCATTAATGGAGATTTTATTTGTCTACCTATTAACGCAGATAGGCTTTACAATCTGTCAGCATGTGGAATTGTCCTATAACTAAGCAGTAACCTTGCTAAGTATCACTACTTCGGGAAAATGCTTTTAATCCCATTTTTAATGTCTGCACCATTCTTTCCACAATCCCATTAAATTGTGGGTGATATGGGGTGTTTTGTAAGGGAAGCAGTCAATCCACCTCAACCAATTACATAGATCTTTATCACAAAATTCTGGTGCATTGTTTTAGGAACCCCATTTCCAGAAAATACCACTCTTAGTATTTGTTTTTATTGTAGTCATTTTTCTATCTTTAACGACTTCAAGCCATCCCAAAAAGTAGTCTATTAAAATTAGAAATATTCTTATATGTCTTTAATGTATGCAGTGTCCATATGAACATGAGACCATGGTTCTGTTTCTTTAGGTCATGAGTGTAGTCTCCTTTGTCAAAGATTTTTTATTTCTGCACATTTTGGACATTTGTGTACATATCTTTCTATATCATAATAATACTCTGGCCATCTTGCTTCCAATTTTAACCTCCTCTGCATGGCCGTTATCTCACAATGCACATTATCATGTACACTTCTTTAAATATTTTTTCTTAACTTTTCTGGTGGTACTATCACATCTCCATTACATATAACACCATTTTCCGTCACTAATTTATGCCTTATTTCTTTATAAGGTCTTTCAGCTTTGGAACAATTACTCCACATGTTTCTTCTTACTCTTTCAGCAATCTTGCTTAATATTGGATCTTGTAGAGTTTCCAATACCAATCTTTGTAGAGATAATATGTCAGTTTCAATCCACTGTAATATTTCTTCATCTGGGATTTCCATTTTTTTCTTTTTGATCCTTATTAAATTGTAACCTTGACAGCACATTGATATGTGGTATTGTATTTCTTTTTGCATACTCACTGTCAAAATCATAAGCCATTCATTTTATAGCCCATCTTAGAATCCAGGAAGAAGTAACTTTTGGTACTCCTTTCAGGAATTAAAAATAAACTCTAGAGGTTTATGGTCCGACTTTAATAGGAGCTTCTTTCCTAATAATAATTGTTGAGCTCTGTTTGTGCTTCAGACAATGGCCAATACCTCTTTTTCAATATCTGAATAATTTATTTTGCTGCTATCTATCTTGAATTATTTTTTGTGATGAAATTGCTAGCACAGCTTGCTCACTTGCATCTATAGTTAACATAACCTCCTTTCTGGGATCAAAGATTTTTACAATGGGTTTTTCTCTTTTAAATCCTTGAATGCTAAATTTTGCCTTTGAGTCCATTTGAACTCACTATTCTTTTTCAGTAAATGGTTCTATTAAGTTGTCGTATTTTGGTAGGTATCTATTATAAAAATTAACTAATCCTAAAAAGGATTCTAATTCTTTTTTTTTTTATTAATAAGTATAGATACCTCTGAAATTTTCTTAATTAACTTTGGATCTGGTGCAGTGTGATCTTTTGAAATTTGATACCCTGAATACGATATTGTATCACAATCAAATTCACATTAGCGTTTATTTATTGTCATTCCCACATTTTTTAGCTTGTTTAACACACATTCGGTTTTTTGTCTTAATTTGTCTTTAGTGGTAGCACCTAGGCAAATATCTTGATAAATAATCATATTACTGATTTTGTCAGATAATACATTTTCCATCTCTCTCCAAAAGGCATTTTCATCCATCTTTAATAATCATATGAGGGTGTTTATTGTGCTAATTTCCTTGAATTTATAGTCAACCTGTATTTGATTGTAGGCTGATTTTAAATCAATTTTTGCAAAACATTTAATGTTCGATAATTTGTGGATAGCAGTTTTGATATTGGGAATAGGAAAAGTGTCCAAACATATTTTGTGATTTACACCTATTTTAAAATCACTACGTATTCTTAAATCACCTGTCTGCATTTCACAAGACTACAATAAGAGAGGCCCATTTAGTGCCACCTTGAGGAACATGCTCCAAAATTTCTACCATTTCCTTTAACTTAGCAACTACCATAGGTAAAAGATGAATAAGTAATTTACAAGATTCAAAATAAAAAGTGGTACTATTTTCATTTAATTGTATACTTGCTTTATACCTCTTTAACACTCCTGTTTTTACTTGTTCTGATTTTATGTTAATGATTAATTTCAATGTATCCACCTTTAGAACATCTTATTTTTTTCAAAAGATATTATTTCCTTCGGTCTTTGTATTGAAAAAATGTCCTCAATTCTCTCTTTTTCCACTTTTTCTATACTGTCTATTTTCTTTTTAACTTTGCAGACAGACTGAAAATGATTTTTTTTTTTTTTTTTTTCCAGCAGTTATGGCAATTTTTTTTCAAAAGCGGAGCACTTTTTTGTCAGTTTCATGCTCATAATTACAGTATTTGCATTTCTTGCATCCCTTTTTTTGTATACTGTTTGTTACAACATTGCCTTCAGTAGAATTATATTTTTTAATCAATTCCAGCTGTTGTATAACTTCCACATATGCAATAAGAGACAGATTATTGAATTGTAATTGTTCCAATACCTTATATTTATGAAATGCATCAGCCATACCTTCAATCAACAGTAATTGAATCAATTCATCCTCAATGGTCAAATCTTGAGTTCCCAGCTTCTCAAATTTGCAGAATATGCAAGCTTCTCTTAATCTGTGAAGATATTGTGCAACTGATTCATCTTGTTTCTGTTTAAAGGACAGAAATTTGCTTCTTTCCATTATGATAAATTTCATTTTAGGTTATAAACTTTTTATAATTTCTGAAATTTCTATGAAAGTTAAATTCTCCTATTGTTTTGGGTATGCCATAACAAAATTTTATAACTTCACAACCTACCAAACAACTAAAAAAAATGAAGGAAAAATTATTACCATAGCAACCTTGCTACTGGGCTGTAGTTAATTTGAAAATTTAACTGTTTATAAAATGAAAAATATTTGTGAATAAAATCAATATCTGAACTATCAATGAGATTTGTAGATAAAAAAATTTTAAATGTAAAATAAATGGTTTAATGTTGGAAAATAAGTTATAAGAAAAATAAATGATGTATATTCAAAGAAAATAATGATTACATATAATTCAAATTATAATTTATGATGATATTATTTAGGTGTTATAGAATTAAAGTAAAAAATACAACAAATTTTATTATACCTATATATGTATATATATATATATATATATATATATATACACACACACACTGGTTAATAAAAGTTTTTGTAATTTTACTTTTAATTATATATATATATATATATATATATATATTCTTAATCTATTTTTTGATTAATCAAATTGGACCGTGATATCATAGCTGATTCAATAATCAAATTCAATAAATTTTTATAAATGAAATAGTTCATTAAGCATATAAAACCCTTTATTTTATTGATATTTATAAGTGTTACCTATTGACATATTTTGAATGATATCACTTTGCTTCTAAATTCTCAGCTCAGAAATAAACTTGAATCAGGATTTTTGTACTGATCCTTTCAAAAGGTTTTTTCTCATTACTATAGTGTGAACATAAACAATAAAGAATATTCAAATTAATGAAAGGATTGAGTTTTCCTTTTGACTAAAGTAATGTAAATGAAAATTAATTTGCTTTCATTTTGCCCATATATATATATATATATATATATATATATATATATATATATATATATATATATGTATATATATATGAGTTACCTGTAAATGTTACATTGTGAGATTTTCAATTGGCTAGGGTAAATATCATTTATTTGTGGTTAATCAACTGATTCTGCCCTCATTTTTAAACAACTTATGAATGCACTTTGATAATCTCATTAACTTCAGAATTGGCTACAAAATAAATTAGTTTTTCTCTGACAATCACTATTCATCATATTACATCATTAACAAAAGGAAGCAATCTATTTTGGTTTATGTTATATTTGTGTAAATAACCAATTGTATTCTCATTGTAAATAAAGCACAAAAAGAAGTGATAAGTGTTTAAGTATATCTTGTTCCTCATCCAGATATTTTGCTTTTCACACTGTCTTCCTTATATCTAATAATTATTTATCAGATTTTAATAACTCCTAATTCTGATTTATGATTCATAATTCATTTGTTTTTATTGTTTTTTATCCACTTTTTTGCTGAATGCTTTGCTTTGTTGCTTTTGCTCACAGAAATCAGAACCAGTGATCCCTAACCAAGACTCACTGAATGTAACATCACCTACAACACCAAGCAAATCAAATATCCCAATTGTAAGTGCCATTTTTTATTTCCATTGAAAAGAACTAATTTATTTGCTTTTTTATCTCCTAAATGTTACAAATAAAGCTTCTATGTGATAGCATTAATGGACATTCAACAATATCAGAGGTATATGATATGAAAAATATATTAGATTTTGTAAGAAGATTTAGGAAAAAGCTAAAAAAGAAACTTAGAATAATCATTACAAAATATAAGTATAGAGAATAAATTCTCTCTATTCATTTGGTGGAAATGAATCTTGATCACCTGATCAGAAGTTGTAGTGCAAATGAACTACCGAAAAAGATTTTCTTAAGAATTCCTTCATATTGAAATGTGATATTTCTTTCCAAGAACTTTAAAAAGATTTATCACAAGGTATTTGCAGTCTAAGGCTAGTAATAGTGTGAAAGAAAATATCTTAAAATAATCTAACATAATCCTTATTATGATTCACTATCATAAATGGAGAAAAAAAGGAACTATAAAATTACCTTACCTTTGACCAAATCATTAAAAAAAAAAAAACCTTTTACCACTGTACTACAATTCCTTTCAGACATTTAATCAGTAAACCTTTCTTCAATACACCCACATAGCTTAAGATTATAATTCTAGACTTTGTTCGCAGTGAGTAGAGAAATCTGATTTTTTTTAAAAATCAGTCTTGCAGAAATTGTGCTTAAGCATAATCTCAAGGCAAAGAAATGGAAAAGATTTAATGAGCAAAACTGTCTTGCTTGCATTGACTACATGTAAATGATTAACTTGATTCTTTTTAGTTTAATATGGTAATATTAAACTAAAAAGAATCAAGAAACCAGATTTTAAACCAATTATAATTATTCACGTAATGTATTCAATGCAACAAAGTATATCTTAGAAAATCATTTTTTTGTTTTTTATATATTCCTTCTTAGTTTAGGAATTAATTATTTTGATTTGATTAAATTTGATTCTAGAAAATGCATTTGAAATGCATAGAATGAAATTAATTCAGAAGAAAATTTTTCTTTGAAATCATGATTAGCAAACAAAAGTTTAAAGTTGTTTCATGAGTTATAGTAATTTTTGGTCACTCTTGAGTAAAGGTCAATCAGGTAAACATCTGAGTTTTCAACAATTTACTGTATTAATTGTGCATTTTTTTGTGCTAAACAAAAAAGTTTGATATGACCTGTTTCTGTCTTAAATTTTAATTTTGGAACACTACTCTGACCTTATATCAGCCTCAGGATATTTTTTGTTGATTTCTAATTAAAAAAAATGCTTTCACATGAGTAATAGAAGTTTCTTTGCTTAGCTAATCTGCTTTAAAATAAAGAATCTTATGCTAATAGTATGCCTCACCTTGAAATTATATGGTGAGAATTGCTTATTTGCCATTATTTTTACATTGATGTTTTAACTAACACATTTTCTGCTCACTCTTGTTCATGGAATCAAAAATATTTATCAACTACAGTCTTCAACAAATATTGTAAGTACATAATGTTGAATGCATTAAAAAATTATATAACTTAAAATTGTGATTCTAGATTCAATCCCAAATTTAAATAAATGGCAAATCAGCAATCATATCAATCTACAATTTTTTTCTGTATATTTGGAATATATAATAGGTAATAGATTTTAACAAGAATGACAAAGATTTTAGTGAGCAAATGCTTTTGGCACTATTGAGCACATTTTATATTTAGTTAAAAATGAAAATTTAGTTTAGCATAATTTAAAAACAAATAAAACTGAATTTTATTAAATTTATGTATTTTATTAGTAAATGTCACATGTTATATTTTTAAAATGCTGAATAGTTTCTCCTCTTTTTGGGGAGAGTAAATCCAAAGTAGAAGTTACCTCTCTCCGAGGAATACCCCATTGTATTATGAAACAGATTTTTAAATAGTATTTTGAAGTGCAAGATTTCTGAGATGGAATAAAATCTGATCATAAATGCAAATTATTTCAATGAAATGAAAGAGAAATAGTCATTGAATCAAAGAAACACTTGAGAAAAGTTGTATTGTAGGTGTAGATACTATCAAATGTTGCTACAATGAAATAATTAGTTGCATTTCAACAAAAAAAAAATGACAGCAAAACAAATGCTGAAAAATGAGGTCTGCTTTAAAAAATAATTGAATAGTCTCAGATTGAAAAAGATTTTCTTAGATGAATATCAAATTGTACGTTTCAAAATACAATGTTAGATGTTTCCCCTGCTTCATGATTTAGTAAAAAATATACTGAAAAAAATGGTAAAATATACAGTGGTAATTACAGTATGGAGAGCAATTTAAGTAGATGGAAATTAAAAAAGAATATACTTCATGAAATCAATCCCAAAACACATGACATCATCAGTCCTCAACTGATGAGACAATTATTTCTCTATGCTGATGACAGTTATTTACTCCTGTCTTACTATTAAGTTTGATTGGTTCAATATGGTCAAATTGGCAGCTGATCTCAAAAATGGCCTGCAATCTGTTAACTGGGGCAAGGAATGGCTTGTTAATTTTAATGTACCAAAATGAAACTGCTCTCTATTTAATCATCTGAGAGAACCCTTTTTGCCTTCCATCAGCATGGTTGATGCTACCCTACAGGAGAGTGACTCATTGCACCTTCTTGAGCTAGCATTTTCTGCTGACATGCAGTGGAAATATCATTGAATTAATTGCTAGAAAAGTTGGTTCACTGTCATGCGAGATAATTTTTCTTGCTAGAATCTATCTTACATATTTATAAGTCTACCATTCATTTGTGCTTTGAATATTGCTGCTACATCTGCTATGTAAAGATTCTTGATAAAATCCAAAGAAAATTCTGCAATGTTATTAGTCCTGACCTGTCATCTCTTTCCTACTGCTGTAATGTAGCTTCCCTGTGCCTTTTCTATAAATACTTTTATGGTAATTGTTCTGATGACCTTCCTCTATGGTACCTAGACTCTATGATTTCAAGTGCAGTATTAGATTTGCAGCAAGGTCTCATCTTTTTACAGTTGAAACGGCTAAATTTAACCATAAGTTTTATGCTAACAGTTTCTTTTTTTTTTGCACTTCTAGCTTGTGGAATTCTCTTCCAGCTTCTTGCTTCCTAGTCAATTTTGATCTTCAAAAATTTAAATGCAATGTCAATTGTTATCTTCTGTCTTAATTTCTGTTCTTTTATTGTTCTTTCTCCTTAATAGTGTTTTTTCTCTCATATTCTCTCACACTCAATAACCCCCTCCCTTGCATCTTAGTGGCTTTATTGCCTTGTTTGGGGGTGAAATGATTAAAAAAAATGAACATTTACACATTTTTCAAGGGGATTGTCTAAGTTCTCAGACTTCAAAGTTGACCATAAATTATTTAAAAGGAAAATAGCATTGAAAATTTAAAAAAAAAAAATGGCTAAGCTACTCTCCTGACTTAAATATTACAGAAAATTCTTGGAATGTACTAAAGTGGAATTTAAATGTCAAGAAACTATTGATCAGCTTTGGGACATCATGAAGTCTGAGTAGGCAAATATCGAGAATTCCTTAATTTTGAAATTATATATCAAAAAGAGTTTTACATGTTTGATGTAATAAAGAAGCTAGTACAATGTACTACTTAATTTTTAAATAATTTTTTGAAAGCATGGTTTATTTATAAACTCTCTAAAACATGTTTGCTAAAATTTTTGTAGTTGTTAAAATCTCTTATTACCTATTATATATTCAAAATATATAGCAAAAAGTTTTACATTCTCTGATTTTTTTTTATTTTCCTATTTAGATTTTTGACTAAATCTAGAATCACAATTTCATATAATTTTGAATGCACTTGATACTGTGCTCCTAAAACTTTTGCTCTCACCACTATATTTGAAGGCCAACAGGACCTTATGCAGAAACGAGTTGTGGAAGAAGGCATTATTTCCAAGCTTTTTAATTAGTAGTTGTGTGATGTAAAAGAAAGTGGCAAGTTAGAAACAAGTTATTTTTGGAGAATTAACACATCTCCTTTTGATTCAGTCAGAGGCCTTTTCAGTTTTTCTTTTTATTAATAAAATTATATTTCTAATTGAAATATATACTTATTAACATTATATCCACTATTGTTTCTTCAATATATGCAAGAAAAATAAAGTTAAAAAGCAAAAACAACTTATTTCTTCCATTTAACAGCGCTCAAAAGCCCGAACTGGACCCAAGCCACCTGTTCCAGCGAAAAGAAAATCATTGACTCTTCAGTCCAAGATAATGTCACCTACAGAAACTCTCTCTCCAGAGGGTCCTAAATCTGCCATACGCTCAAATGCTGTCCCACGCATGAACAGTACATCTTCTCCCAACCAGGCACCAACACTTCGTTCTACATCTCCCAGCACATCACCTGTTCTTGGCACTCCTTCTGCACAGAACAATGTTCGGCCAGTGTCCCCAAATAAACCTGCTGTAGAAACTGAATTTATTGACCCTATCAAGCAGTCTAAACAACCTTCAGGATTGCCTCTGAATACTTCAGTGGTGAGTTGAAATTTATTTCCCAACAAAACTTAGCAATGGAAAAGGTACAAAGGCTTACACACTGTCCCTACCCTGCCTTATGCTAAAAGACAAAAAAAAATGGCTTCAAGGATTACAAGAACTTTTAAAGAACCTTGAATAATAAAAAAAAAAAAAAATCTTGCTTCTAGGTTACTGACTACACATTGCGTGGTTATTTATCTACCCATGTATTTTGTTTGTTTTAAGGGTAGAATTGGGGTTGCATTTGTCTTCACTTAACTAACTTTTGGTCAAGTGATGTCAATAACCAAGGAAATGTGACTATTATGCTGTAATCTAATTTTTAATAACAAGTTTACTTTTTACTGTAAAGTTTTTAAAAATCATTGAAAAATCAGAATTCATCAAAGTCTTTCTATTTCATCACTTGAAACTTTTACTTGATCAGATAACAAATGTTTATAAACTTTGTTCAACTGATTTTGATATATAATGTAGCTATTTTATACTACAATTTGACTATATCTTTTGTTAAGAACAAGTTGTTGAAAAATCCTATTTCTATACTTGATCAGAAATTAAGAGCAAATTCGAAAACATTCTTACCTTCCTTGTTATTGGCATTGAAAAACATGTGCAAACATTTGACTTCACAAGCGTGGATATATGTTGCTAACTTGGTGTTGGTTTCAAGTTGATCATTGTTGATGAAGTGGTCACCCTACAAATTGATTATTTGACTGGTACACGAGCTTATCTAGCTTTGAATCTGTTGTATCTATTTCATAAGAGCTTTGCTCTTTTCTTTTTTCATTTTTAGTACCTCCTCTACATTTTCACTTTTTTCTTTCTTGCATCCCAAAGCACAAGATAAACTCCTGCTGCATCTCTGTGCCTTCTTTCAAACATTGAAGCTTAGCAATACTATTTTTCAGCTTGAGACTTGTATATAAAATCTATATTATTGTTGGAATTTTAGTCAATAGAGCAGTTTCACTCATTCTCTATTTTCATTTTTATTTGATAAACCTAATCATAAGAAAAAGATGGGAAAAAAAGGTTTCATATCTTGAAATTGGGAGGCTTTAAAGAGACAATTTGTACAGACTTAAGCCTAACATTTGAGAAAATCTTCATTACCTGTATCTACTGTAGTCAATACATTCATCTACTTATAAAATCCTTTATATCATTGTGGTAAAAGTTTCTTTTTCAATGATGTTTTTTTTTTTATATGTTGATCTATGCAAAACATCTTATCTCACTGTCTTATTAATATCTCCATATTTATGTTGAGTGGAAGCCAAAGGCAGTTTAGTGGCATTTTGGATATTATTGTAATAAGGTTATAGATAATGAGCAAATATTTTCAAAAGATTATTATTTAAAGAATATGCTAATTATAAATTTAACTTCACAAGTTTGCAAGTTTTCTATTAGATGACATGATGGACCACAATATTCAAATAATTGGCAACCATGCTGCCAAGGTTTTTCAGGAATTGGTCCAAATGCTTCTTTTCAGTTAACCTACAAATTGATCTATTTTAGTCAATTATTATCAGTTGATCAACTAAAGATGCATTTTAACCTGAATGACCTTTGGGAGGTGAATATGTGCAGCTTGTCTGATGTTTGGACAAAGCTTGATGAATATGCATCATTGTGCCAGAACACTTTCATCTGACCTATTGCAATATCAAAATAACAAACTCTAGTGCTGGGTGTTGGATCTTCACTTTAATTATTTTGATTTTATTGATCAAGTGATAGTGCAAAGCAGTGAAGTAGAAATTGTTTTGCATCATTTAATCAAAGAATTTCATAATAATTATTAAAATATCCCTATGCAGGGATGTAAGATTGTTGGGTTGGCAGCTGGGTAATGAACAGATTTTTGTTTAATGTAAATGTATGGAATTAGTAACAAAGTTAAAATTATTTGTATTGTCAGTATGGCAATAGAGAAGAACAAGTTTCCTTCATACGCTGTTTCTTTTAATGGAAAATATGACAAAAACCCAACCATTAACCCATTGTACACTTAAAGACACAAATTAAGGAGGATGATTGTTTTATTTTTATAATAATAATTAAGAGTAATGAAAATCATAAGTTCACTCTCCAAGGAATTCTCTAAATATTTAATCTTGAGAGAAGCTTCTTTGTGGTCTCTTGGTTTCAATGGGTTGAAAATCAAATCATAGCTTCTCTGGAATCCAACTATACACCCCAGCTTGAGGAGACTAATTGCACAATACCTTGGGCATCAAAGGATTTTTTTTTATCATTAACTATTCTGAGGGATTACCCATATGGTACTTGTTGCAATATTAATTTTGATGTTTAATTCATCATTGCTGTTTCAAGCAGACTATTGCTGCAAGCATTCAAATAAACCAGAAAAAGATAATGTTTTGATTAACTATTTATAGAAACCAACATCCTTTGTAGTTTATACTTGTTTACAAATTTTCACCAAATAACTATTAGAAACTAGACCAAAATTTAAACTTTCAGTTTAAATCACAATCTGAAGAAGAAACTTGCCATGACTAGATTTTGCAATACTTGACGATACAATAAATAATTTCCCACCAGAGTCCAAACATCTGGTAATCCAGTATCTGTGATAAAAAATACAAATAGGTACTATTAATTTTGTGATATTTTAAATTTATTTTGATCACATTTTTAATTCCAGAATTGTTTTGAAATTATATGAAATATTAGTGAGTATATAAAGTGCATCCTTTGAATAATAAGATTATAGCATAGTATTATTGAATTATTTACTTTGGTTTTGCCAGAAAAATCATTGATACAATGAGGTTTTGTAATTTGGATACTGAAAAATGTGTATCTGTTAAGTTACAATACAGCATCTAATCTGTACTGAATTATCTCTCTCTCTCTGTTTACTAATCAAAGACTGCTCAACAGCAATTATAACTCATAAAAAATTTCTTGTAGAATCATTTTGAGCATACAACACAAAATAAATGCAACTGCCTAAGTAGACAAAATATCCAGCAATATTAAAATTATAATGAAATAATGCATTCTGATCACTTCAAGTCTAGTTGCTGCTGCTGCTGCTGAGTAATTTCACTTTCCCATATTGATTTCTTTTTCCACAAATTTTTTTTCTGTCACTTGGACACCACACAATACCAAACTTGATTTAAAGAAGCTTATGAGACAACAAAATACCAATGTAAATCTGATGGACCAAGCTCATTTTTTGTGACAATCAGAATTCAAGCCTTGTCATGTAATTTAATGAATAAAAATGATTTTTTTCCATTTTTATGTTTGCATTTATATATGCATTATTAACATCAGGATATTGAAAAAAATTTTCTGATCATTTTCCAGGTTATTCACCAAACATCTATTTTTAATTTTTTTTTAATAATTTCTTTAATAAATCAAATTTTATTTACTGATAAAAATAAATAGATGAATAGCCATAGATTATTTTTTCTCTTTTTGGCATAAAAGTAGAAAAAAAATCTATGACTATTTTTTGTTTAATAAATTTTGTATGAACTTTAAAAAATATTTTATTATAAATGCTGATGCAAAAATATTTAGACATCAGTTGTTTCCATTTATTTACTTTTTTTAAAACTATTTATTTGCAATATGTAATCACTTGGAAAATAATTCAAAAAAAATTTTTTTCTCTTTATTTTTTCCAGGATATAATGAGCAATTTTTTCTTTTGCTTCTGCTACTCTTTATATAATCACTGGCATTTCTTTTTTCTGCAATGGGAATTGTAAGGAACTTCTTAATTTCAGTTGTGATATCTTTAGGAGATAATTTTTTTTTACTTTTGGTTGATTGAATTATTTTTATGCTGCAGGCTACAAAATAATGCCATTGTATAAGAGTACTGTACAGTTTTGCCTCTTAACTATAATGAACATAAGGCTTTTGGGAATGTAAGGAATGAGTAAATATAAATTGTGTAATTTGAGACACAATGTCAGATTTTATTATGAAAATCAATGCTTTCATAATAAAATTTCTATTAACCAACCTATGTTAGTAACATTTTCAGGATATAGTTTTATGAGTAATATATCATGTTTGTTTCAATTTATATCTTATTAAAGATATTCATAATTTGTTTTAGAGTTGTTTAGTTTTATTATTCAAATAAAGAACAAAATAAATCTATATAAATAAATCCAAAATATATAAGCCATAAAAAAACATTTTAGTACAATATCCCATAAACCTGAATAAATTATTTTAATAGTTTAGTTTAATAATAGGCTCATTCACATTCTATAATTTTAATGTGGTGTGGGGTTTGCAGTCAGTCATTCCCACTTGGATTGGAACAAACACAAAAATAAAAAAATACCAGAATTTTCTTTTCCCCTCCATATTTCATTTTTGATAAGGCTTAAATAAAAGCAAAACAAAATAAATTTATAAATGTTTCCTATTTGTCCCTTATCCTATCATTGACAGATTCTAATACATATTTGATCCCTAGTCTATGTATATATATATATATATATATATATATATATATATATATATATATATATATATATATATATATATATATATATATATATATATATATATATATATATATATATATATATATATATGTGTGTGTATATATATATATATATATATATATATATATATATATATATATATATATATATATATATATATATATATATATATATATATATATATATGTATGTATATATATATATATGTATATATATATAGTGTGTGTATATATATATAGTGTGTATATATATATATATATATATATATATAGTGTATGTATATATATATAGTGTATGTATATATATATATATATATATATATATAGTGTATATATATATATATATATGTATATATATATATATAGTGTATGTATATATATATATAGTGTATGTATATATATATATATATATATGTATATATATATATATATATATATATATATATATATGTGTATATATATATATATATGTATATATATATAT